GACACTTACAAGGACTCATAAGGGATTCACTGAAGCACTGTATCAAGCAATGTGGTGTAGCTGTGAACTGTTGGCAAACAGGAGTGGCAAACAAATTAGCCTAACAAGTCCTTATTGATTACCTACTGCTCAGAGAAGATCACTAGTCCCCCAGGGACCAGAGGAATACACGCTGGATTTCCTGCCTCCAAGAAGCTGACAACTTGGGTTGGGGCTGGGAGAAAGCACAAACAAGGAAAGCAGATGTGTTGAAGATGCCATCTGAACAGAGCTGACACAGAAATATAACTAAGGATGCTCTTAGGATGGCGTCTTTTGCCAAAATCCAAATGACATTCTTCACAGGCTTGCTGAGTGAAAGGGAAGTCTGCTCACTCTCCTTCTTTTCAGCCTTGTTCCCACACACAGATTATCATACTGTCAACAGCATAATCTAATAAAGACAGCAATATATTGTCTTTTGTTAGCTGGCTGAAACCCAGAGACTGTGCTGCTGAATACAGAAGGGCAGACAGATGGAAGTTTCATGCTGTCTTGTAATTGCAAAGTAGTCTTACATTTGAGAGTACTTCACAGAACAGCATCTATTACCTGTGGATAAGTTGGGATGGTACATTTAAAATATGGATTGGACCTACTGGTGAAATTTAATTGTTACCAATTAGATCTAGCAGGAGAACTCAGATCAGGCACTGTGACTTACCTAATTGGATTGTAAAAATAAAGCTGTAATTATATTTGAGAGAAGTGAGGCTGTTACTATATTGAGGAGAGCGAGTACTTCTTTTGGATATTAGTTTTTAAGGTGCCTGAAAATAGTGCTCGGAAACCACACATTATATTGCCTTCTGCATTGCTTACCACTGTGCCAGAAGGAAGGAAAAGACAGGTCAAAAGGCATTAAAAATTATTTCCAGCTGAAAAGGAAAAATTCAGAAAGCCTAAGTTATCTATATCTTGCTAAAAATGAGGCTGTTTATGTAATTAAACAGTCCATTAAGGAAATATTGAACCTATCAGCTATTTATCCTTATATTGTCATAAATATTTAAAATTAAATGGTCTGATATTTGTCTTTGATATTTTAAAAAGATTCAGACTCAATTTAAAAAAATATATTGTTTTGACTTCATACTTTTCCTCTCACTTTCAAAGAAAATGTGTATTTACAACACTTCAAGCTTTCATTGTACAAACATTTCATCTTTCATCATGTTTCCTCTTTAGCAAGAATTATCCAAAGCAAAATAATAATAGCTAAATTCAGGGCTTCAACTTCTCATTTTGTGTTTATTTTTCAAAAATCATAAAATGAATCACAGGGAGTCTCTCATTTAAAAATGTGACTTACACATATAAGATTTTATATCCACGTACATAATTTTTGTGTACATTTGATTTTCCCCCATGTCACACATTTCTCAATTGTGAGACCTTTGTGATGAATTAAGATTTCCTATTACTAAAGTGTTAAGTGTCTGTTTTTTTATAGTTTAAGTTAACTACTTAGTATTTAAATTTCTTGTAAATACCTAGAACTGTCAAGTAAAGTTTGGTATAGCAGTTTTGGGTTTTTATTGGAAACTTTATTGAGTGGTCTTAAGGTAGTCTACAATAGATGTCTGTAAAGTAGCTCCTGACTGAATTTAGATCCGGTGAGATTCACAGTGAACTTGTCTGTGCCTTATGGAATCTGGCACCACCAAAAGATTAGTTTATTCTAATTTTGTGTGACTTAGAATTTGTAAGTAATCAGAAAGGCCAGATCTACCACTTCTAAAGTTGTCTTAATAAACCATGGTGAATTGGGAAAAATTGGAACAAAAGACTCTTCTGGCCTCTCCCTTTGAGTCATTTTCTCTGCTGAGGGAGTAGAGGAAGGGAGCCACCAAGCCACACACTGGATAGAAGTAGAATCAGGCTGTGTCCTATTTAACAAATTATAGCCAACAAAGTTTAGCTGTGACATGTCACCAGTGATGAATGTAACATGAATTGGAAGAAATGTGGAGACTGGTGGTGATATGGGATCTGGAAACGGGTTTGGCGAAGGCACCAACATGAGCAGCTAAAGTGACTGCCTAGCAACTTCTCTGGCTTCTGCCCACTGACTGAACTGGGAGGTTGGGCATAGATAAGGTCTATGGCATCAGAGCCAAAACAGAATTTTCACATTTTTTCTTCGTTTTCCTTGTTTTTGTAAAGCTTGGAGGAAAAAGTGGTAGATTTTAAGTTGCTCCCCAAAAGTACACACTTAACCTGAGGGCTTCAAAGACCCAGCCTGCCATTGGCTGGAAGGAATGGAAGCAGCTGAGGAAGAGGCTAGAGAAGGCTGAGCTTTGTAACCAGGACCCATAGGAAGGACATTCAGGAGAGGGGACATCAGCAGCATGGGGAGTTTTGTTTTTGACATCAGTAACTTAGTTAATGCTATTTGCATTTGCTCTTGAGGAAACAATAGCATATTTGATGGCTGTTGTAGAAGAGCACTGGCACAATAAGTCACCAGAGAAGAATTTTCTCCAGCAGTAGGACAGAAATATTGATATGGCAGCGGGAGGGAGCTGAACATGCTTTTCACCACTAATTTTCTCATAGAATGTGGCTTTAGCAGGATCATGACATGGTCTAGTTCAATAAATGAGCCTTTGGAAACTATCTTTACTTTCATTATTTATATCATGTAACAGGGGAGTTTTTCCATCTGGAAGACTGACAGGGAACAATCATGAACATAATGTGAGTGTCCCTCTCATATATTGTACTCTCAGTAATGCCTTGGTTAAGACTTCATGTGTATGTGGTAGGTCAGGAGAAAGGGAAATAAAAAGTGGGTAAGAGTTATGGAAAACATTAGAGTCCTGGGATGGAAAAGAAAGTGTAAACAAAAAATAATGTCTGCTAATGTTTACTGAACACCTATTACTTGCTAGGAACTGTTCTAAATGTTTTACACATTTCATCTTTATAGCAGCACTGCAGTGTAAAATACAGTACAACATACAGGCACACAGAAGTTAAGCAATTTTCCATAGTCACATAGGTAGTAAGTGGCAGAGTCAGACTTTAAGCCAGGAAATCTAGTTCCACAATCCAATTTCCTAGTCACTACTCCACACACCTATGACTCAGCAAGGTACAAATGGAAGTGAAAGGGATAAGGCAGTGAATTTATTGTAGGAGCAGAACAATGGGAGATGTGTCAGAAAAGAGCCCAGAGACTGTGATATGAACCCATCTCTCAGAGGTATTAAATAATGGATTCTTGCCTATCAGACAAGTTGCACTAGAGGGTTCCTAGGTTCCTTCTGAGTCCAGGATTCGGTGACCCTAAAGAAGAATGCGGTATAAAGTGAACAGGTGACAGGGGTGAGAAGTAGGCATTGGAAGTATCAGGCAAGTGTCCATCAGGAATGAGTGAATAATAGAATTTATATTCATAGAAGGTACATTTCTGCTTCTGCACAAATCTTTTTTTCCACAGCCCCTGGTGAGGGGTTAAGAGAGCCTGTTGCAAGGGTACCTTCAGAGGGAGCTCATTGTGTTGTCCTTTTCCTTTGCAGACCCATGGTTATTGAGATCCTCCTTGATTTTAACAGTGCCTGGTCTTTCTGAAACTTTCACCTGCTGATTTTGGCTCTATCTTTTAGGCTCATTCGAAACAAGTTGAATTCATTTTCTACACCTTGGATTTTCAAACTTTCTGTTCTGTTTTTATTGGTGATATCTTGACAGCTTCTTCAGTTTTTTTCACCATCTGAAATGATGTAAGGTCTTTCATCATCTGCTAATTTTCTTCCAAGTAGAGAGAAAATATAGGCACATTGCTTGGGAAGGTGGTACCTGAATTGAATGTAGCACCTTATGTGTGGTTTGGCCAGCGTGGGATAGTGAGATGATCATTGTTTTCCATTTGGACTTACTAGGAAAGCCAGAGAGCTGATTATTTCTTGGGCAGCCTCTTCACAGAGTGCCCTCAAAGTGAGCTTGTGGTCAGTGGAGAGCCCTTGAATCATTTTTACGCATGTATTTGTCATTGATACTTAAACTTCTTTTAAACACAGTGTAAGCCATTAAATCTTTGTGTGATATATTTCATCATTTAGGTTTCGTCTATTGCTGTTTTGGATATTGGTTCTGTTACACATAAATAATCAGCCTGCCAAGGGATTTTGTAGTCAAAGTGTGGTCAACTTGAAATCAATGCCTTAATCCATGTTATTAAAGCAATTAGTGAAAAGGCAGGCCAGAACCTAGTTGTATGACTCCAGGAACTTTTTATCAGAAATAGTTTTCTTTTTTTCTTTTGGAAGATAAAACCCTCTACAAGTCAGGACAAACAATTGTCCTGAATTTTAGTGAAAAAGAATCCTGCCTGAGGTCTGGAATGGCCCAACTATGGCTTTTCCATATTATCTTTGCATTTGTCTATGGGTCTTAGTCTGGGATGAATCACTGAATGGCGTGTGGACTTGTAGGTCTTGGGTGAGGTCTGGTTAACAGCATGTTCTTTTGGGCCTCTGGATTAATAATCTCAATTTGCCAAATTGGTGGAGCCTGGGCCACCACTTTTCTTGCCTCTTTGTTAGTTCTGCAAAGGAGATTTGGAGGGCAGCCTCACAGGCTGATCTCTTTCAAGTGCACTCTCCTCTCTGCTGTCCAGAGCTCCCAGCACTGTAAGGCCCCTGAGGATACTAAGTTTCCTTAAAAGCATTTTTAGGTTCAGATGCCCTTAAGCATTGGTATAGTTTTGTTTTGTTTTGTTTTAAGGTTCTCCCTATGTAGTTCAGGCTGGCCCTGAACTCATGGTAATTCTCTTGATTTAGCCTTTGGAGTTCTGGGATTATAGGCATGCCACGGACCCAGCTAAGCATTCATACTTTTGATGGCAGTTGCCCAGAATTTCCCTGCCGACTTTGCCTGTGGGTGTCTGTCTAATCACATTCCTCTTTAGGTGTCTATTAGGGGGCCACCCCCAGCATTAGTGACAGAGTACTTACTCTTTGACGTCCAGCCTCTTCTCTCTCTGGCCTCATGGCTGAGGGAGTGGGCAAAGAGGAAACTTGGTTGGGCTTTGGTGGTGCAAAGCTCAGCCCCACACTTTTCTTTCCAAATACTCTCAGAGTTTGTACTCCCTGAATAGGGACCATTTGCTTTTCACCCCTGCTCTGAAATATATCACACTCATCACCTCTTGTCTGAATTCCAGTGTTCAGTGAGGTTCAAGCTCTTTCCTGTAGGAAACAAGCAAATAAGAGTCATGTACAAACTTCTTTTCAGAACTTCATGCATCCCAAGATAGCTATAGAACTATTGATTTTAGTACCAGGGATTGATCCTGGAGAGCACTGGGCTATGTCTCCAGCCCTTTTTATTTTTATTTTTTTGTTTATTTTAGGACAGGGTTTTGCAAAGTTGCCTGTGCTAGCCTTGAACTTTGAATCCTTCTCCCTCAGCCTCCTGAGTAAGTGGAGTAAAAGGTGTGCACTACCATGCCAAGGCTATACCTTTCTTTTTTACCTGGTATCTAAACCCATATGCTACTTTTTAGGATTCTTCCCATAAGCTCTGAGTTTTCATGGATCATGTCTTTTTTATTTCCATCCCTATACCATGTCGTCTTTTTTTCACACATAGTTTTAATAAAATAAGGCAAACTCTTTCATTGCTATCTATAAGTAATAATTTCATCCCAACAAGAATTAGTTTACTAAGGGTGCTGCAACAATACCACAAACACAGTGCCTTCCTAAATACAAACTTATTGCCTTGTATTTCTAGATGCCCACTTTAAAAGTGTTGGCAGGGCTCATTCACTCTAAGGTCTGTGAGGGAGACTCTATTGCCTGCCTATTCTCTTGCTTCTGGTGGTTTGCTGGCAATATTTAATGTTCCTTGACTTACAGAGACATCACCCCATCTGCACATTCATCTTTACACATTATCCCTGTATGCATCGCTCCCTAAGTTTCTTTGTTTTATAAGGATGCCAATCATATTGAATTAAAGTCTTTCCTCACTCTAATGTGACTTCATCTTAATTACAACTACAATGATCCTGTTTCCAAATAGTGTCTTGTTGTGGTGTACTAAGCATTAGCAGAGGAATTTAGGGGGTGCATAATTCTACAACTAACATGTGCTGAACACGTGACATGCTGCTCAGGTCTTCTTTCAATGCTGCACATAGTGCTGGAAGAGATTCTCCAGGAGTCAAACCACTTTGAGACTGCCTCAGCTGAAGAAAATTGTCTTGCTCCAGATTTGTGCTTGTTCTAGGGTTGTACCCTAGAACTAGTGAGTATGATTTCCACACCCCATTATTCCAGCTTGGAACAATTCAGAAGGGTCATCCTAGCTCCAAAGCTCCCCATGTGGTCATATGAGTCCTTTATTGGGATGGTATCATAGCTCAGCATCTTTCTTAGTGAGATCTTGCTTCTATCTTCTTGGTGTTGATCCTATAAGCACTCTCTAATAAACCTCCTACAGGCTAATCACTCTCAGAATCAGCTTCCAATTGGTAATACAAAGTAACATTTATCATAAACCCTGAGATTTCAAACCATCTTGCTCATGAGCCATTATGTGAGCAAACTACAAAGCTAGCTCAGGACACAAATGCTTTCTGCCATCACCTTCTTGACTATTTTCTCCTGCAAATTGTCCACTATATTGGTCTGCTACCTTGCTGTCTGGGTTCTTCTTTATGGACTTCACAGAATTTGGCTGTATTGTAAAGGTATATGGATAGTGGACTAAAGACACTATTTGAAAAGAAGAAAGGTAGACTTCTGGAGTGTTGATGATAATGACTAAAAAATGCCAGTTTGTTAAAAACTGATTAGCTGCCTCAGGAAAAAAAAAAGCCACCGGTGACATGAAACTATCGTTTTCCCTTTGAATTACCATTAACAAATACATGTTAGGCTGACCTCCAACACAGATGAAAAACTAAGATTTACACATGAGAGGTTGAAAGGGTCATTAAAAAAGACTATCAAGGTAATCAGACTCAGGTTCAGAAGCTAGGACTGCCACTTTCAGGCCTTAGGACCTTGGGCATTTTCCTTAATTTTTCTAACCTTTCATTTCCTCTTGAGAGAATTGTAGGTCTATTATATGGATTAAAAAAAATATATATAATATATATGACCTAATAGTGTTGGCTCCTGATAGTAAATTGTATTTATATAATAATATAATGCTATGTATTTTACCTGGAAGTACAATGATAAATTAATTCAAGCAGCTCCTATGTGTATTTAAAATGTACTACAAAGTATGAGTGTAACAATGTATAGATTATTCTGCAAACATGGCTTATTGTAGATCATACTTTTAAGCTGAAGCCATACCTGTCCTGGCACTGTTAGAAATATGCTGAAGGACTGAAGTATTTTTGTTTTTTGTAGTGTTTCAAATACCATCTTCACATCCAATTTTCTGAATTGTCATTTCAACTGTTTGTAGTGAAAGAAGAAAACCAACACTTGAAAAAAAAGTATTATATAAAACATATTTCCAAGAAATGTGAATTTATTTAAAAATTCTGTTAGCACTCCATTTGCTGGCAAAAAAAATTATTTCATGTAAGTAGCTGTCTCAGGAAAGAAAACTTCTCCATTAAGTGCTAAAGATTTTGCACAGTGCAGATTATTGAAAAATGGTTTTTGAGAGAATACCTAAAAGCACCAGTGACACAGCTTATTTTACTGCTTCTGCATTCAGAGTTAGAATAAAGCTTTTGAAAACATTGTCAATGTGCTGACATTATTATTAGAGGACCTTAACCTTATTATAAAACTGTTGAACAATACTTGTTTGTTCCTCTCAGAATCAAGGAGTAAAGATTGTTGCAGTTCAAGGTTTTCAGGTGCTTTTTTCTTTTTTGAACTAAAAATGATGTTGGTAGAGACAAAGAGTAGAGTGATAAAAGCAGATGGTACCTGTAGAGATAAGTTCTCTTGTTATCATTAATAGTGATAAGAGTCTCTAGCCATGGATGATTTTTTGTACACATTATTTTTAAGCAAAGCACTTGCATAAAGTTGCTTTTTTCCTTTTGGAATTCATGTACTCTTCTTGAAGCTATAAAATAGCATGTTATATAAACTTACAATGGACACTTCAATAGTGTCTCATGATTTCTGAAGTGAGGTGCTCTGAGATGTCATCAAGGGCATTGTTATGCCTGAAGGATTGTTACATCTCTGATTGTGACTTGGACTCCCAGCCATTACATTTTTGAGAAAATAACATTGAGATCCACTCTCTATTTTTTTGTTCTTTTAAGAATATTTATTAATGCATAAAGAAGATAAAAATGGTATTATTATACCATTCAGTTAGGTATTTTATTGAAAAATTTACTACCTTCACATAGTTAGAAAGTTACCATAGGGTCAAGATGTGATAGCATTTGTAATTAATATATCCTTAATTATGAGTGATTTACTGGGATTCATTTTATTGTTATGCGTCAAATGTACATACTTTTTAAAGCATGCTTCTAATATTACATGAGAACAATCTATTAATGCCCTCACATCAAATAATAAGATAAAAAAATGGAAATAAAAAGCAAAAACCTCTTCTCATTCCTAGATACTCTTAATAATAACTACTATTTCGATAATTTCTAAGCATATAATTCCTTAAAACTATTCTATTAAGGGCCAGGGATGTAGCTCAGTGGTGCTGCCTCCTGCCTTGCAAGCGTAAGGTCCCAAGTTTGATCTCTGATACCAAAAACCCCCCCCCAAAACAGAAAAACAAAACTATTCTATTAAAATAAAAATACATATTTTTTTCCCTTAATTGTAAAGACATAGTCACCAAAATCTAGAGCTAGAAAACCTGTTTTGGAGTCCTGTTTCCTTAGAAGACCAATTTGATAAACTCAGGTAAGTTTTTATTTTTACTAGTGCATGTTTGCAGTACATAATTATTACATTCCTTATGGGAAGGTGGTACATGTACATAACACATCATAATTCTTTTTCCCTTCCTTCCCTCTCTCCACATCTTGGTTCCTTTCCCTTTTGCAAAAGATTTATCTCCTTATTTCTTATTATCTATCTTTTTTTTTTGCTTAAATTCTTTTATTGGTACATTTTGGGTATACAATATGTTTACATTTATCATTGGGTGCTTGTACCTGCACATGATGTATCTTGGTTCTTATTTTTTCCCCATTCCCAGCCCTCCCTTCACCCCCTCCACCCTTCCCCATTTACAAAGACTTTGTTTCCACTTTTTCCTTTTCTAATAATTTTTCCTTTCCCTTCTTTCCTTTCCCCTTCCCCTCCCACTTACCCTACCCCTTTGGACCTTTTTTCCTATTCCAAATTATCAATTATTCATTTTAATCATTTTAACCTTTATTTACACTTTCAGTTTCTCACACTAGAGAAACTATTCGGTATTTACACATGTTTGTCCTATTTATTTCACTTAAGAGTATGGCCTCAATATGCATCCATTTAGCTATAAATGTCTCTAGTTTCTCATTCTTTATGGCTGAGTAGTACTCCATTTTATATTAAAAAAACAACATCTTTATCCAGTTTCCAGTTGATAGGCACTTGGGCTGTTTCTAAGCTTTAACTATTACAAACTGTGCTGCTATAAACATGGGTACACATGTATCGCTGTGGTATGATTCTTTTTAATTCTTTTGGGAAGATAGCCAGCAGGGGAATAGCTGGGTCAAATGGGACCTCTAGTCCTAGTTCTTGAGGTATCTTCATGCTGATTTCCACAGTGGTTGTACCAGTCTGCACTCCCACCAACAATGGAGAGGGGTTTCTTTCTCCCCACACCCTCACCAGCATTTGTTATTGGTTGATTTCTTGATACCAGTCATTCTTTCTGTGATGAGGTGGAATCTCAGTGTTGTTTTCATCTGCATCTCTCCAATGACCAGATGATGTTGAACATTTTTTCATATGTTTATTTGCTGCTTTTACTTCTTTGTCTGAGAAATGTGTATTCATTTCAGATGCCCATTTTTGAATTGGGTCTTTAAATTTGGGGGGGTCTGATTTTTTTCAGTTCTTTACATATTCTAGATTCCTATTATCTATCTTTTATTTTCATCTTTATTTATATTTTGGGTTTCTCCTATAAGAGAAACCATGTGATATTGAAGGTTGTGTGTCTGATTTATTTCACTTAACATTATGGTGTCTCTCAGCTAAGTTTTTACACTTCTCTGTACTTAAGTTCCTTCTTTGTAAATGGGACTAATAAGCCTCAGAAAGTTGTTTTTAAGAATAAACGTCATTTACATAAATCATACTCCTCCTGGCATATGGGACTCAGTAAATGTGAACTATAAGAAAAAGAGACATTTCAACTTCTGCTTTATTTTATTTTATTTTATTTTTTGGTACTGGGGATCAAACTCTTGCTTGCAAGGCAGGTGGTGGTACCACTGAGCTAAATCCCTGGCCTCAATGTCTATTTTACTTTAGTTTTGTGCAACTGTCATTATGTAGTATCATTTTTAAGCTTTTTTCTGAGCCCTATTGTTTTGCATATCTCTTACATAGATTATATAATTTAAAAAATTTACTCAATATTATTATTATTATTTTTTTCTCTCAGTACCGGGGATCAAACTCAGGACCTTACACTTGCGAGGCAGGTGTGGCGTCACTGAGCTAAATCCCCTGCGGAATTTTTTCTTTTCTTTTTCTTTTTTTCTTCACTTTATTAAATTCTTTTATTGGTACATTGTAGGTATACAATACAATTACATTTCTCATTGGGAATTGTACCTTTACATAATCCATCTTGGTTCTTATGTTTTCCCCATTCCTAGCCCTCCCTTCACCCCTTCCACCCTTCCCTATTACAAAGACTTTATTTCCATTTTTTCCATTTCTCAGCATTTTTCCTTTCCCTTCTTTCCTTTCCCCTGCCCCTCCCACTACCCCTACCCCTTTGGACCTTTTCTTCCTCGGTAGGGCATGCGCCGAATTTTTTCTTTTAACAGATGAATTTATAGCATTTATACTTATTGATATAAGATATAGGGTTTCATTTCTTTCTTTTTGTGTGAAGTTGTCAATTATTTCTCAATTGTCTTTCTTTTGTTGCATGGATTTTTTTGATGTCTTCATGTTTTTCTTTTTATAATTTGGATAGCTTTGGTTTGTTCTGAAATTTATACTGAATGTTATAATTTTTTTTTTTTTATACTGGGGATCGAACTCAGGTCTTTGTGCTTGCACAGCAGGTGGCAAAACCACTGAGCTAAATCTCCGGGCCTGTTATAACTTTATATATTGTCCTCAGTCTTTCAACTTCGAACTTAGGAAGTTTAAACAGAATCACTCTTTGTATAAAAATATAAGAAAATGATCAAATTTGTACTTTCTTATAGCTTTTCCCTTATCTTCTAATTTCCAAATGTTAGCTACCTTCTTATTTTCAATCTCTTTTGATAGTTCCTTGATCAAATCTTGATTTAGCAGAATAGTAATATTTTTACCAAGTAAAATGGTGAAATTATAGCATTTACCCCTATTCCCATTTCCCTTCTCAAAAATTTGCTTGATATATTATTTTTAATACTTCCAAAGGTTAAAGACTTCATTTGATATAATCATATTTATCATAGTTGTTCATCTTAGTGATAGGTATGAGTAGATTTAGTGCTCATAGCATATACTTGATGCCACAATTTATTTAGAATTGTGGGTTTTAACTTTGTCTTTTTTCTTAAGCCCTGATTCATGGCTTGCAGTCAATGTTTTACTTGTTTCATATGTGATTGAGAAGAGTTTGAATTCTTTATTTTTTAAGTGGAAGGTTCTATGTATGTGTAACCTGATTTGTTGTTAAAATTATTTTTCCAGGGGCTCAGTGGTGCTGCTGCCTGCCTTGCAAGTGCAGGGTCCTGAGTTCAATCCCTGGTACCAAAAAGAAATTTTTTTTTTCTGTCTGCTGATTTTTTAGTAATAGAGCTGGGTTAAATCCCTCTTCTCTGATAATGACTTTTTCATTACTTACCACAGTTTTAATTCATTTTTCTTTATTTTGTAGCAATTTTACTAGGCCTATAAAAAGTTAAAAATTTAAATAACCTTGATTAATTGAATTTTCATTTTTATTTTTTTCAACAGAATCACTATTAAAGGTGGTTTTTAAATTTTGTTTTAAAGTTTGATGTTGAAATATCTAGCTCAACCATCTTTTGCTTGATTTTTTTGACTACTATAGTACTGGGCTTTTTAACAGTTTGTATCACTTAACTTCATGTTTTATATGTGTCTTATTTACTTTTTCTTTTTGAGCTTATTATGTATTTGTGTTTTCTCATCATGTATTTGTTCTTTAATAATGTGGAAGCTATACACCTTATATCTCTTTTATCTGTGCTTATTCTTGAAAATTTCACCATTTATTTTGAACAAATTCCTAATCCCCATTCCAAACAAAGATTTTAGCACAGCTCAATTCCAATTAATATTTCTGTAACTTTATTTAAGATTATAATTTTTTCCACCTTTTATTCTGGGTGTGATTTTCTTCTTTCTGAAGTAATTCTTTAGGAATTTCCTTAATGGAGATGTATGACTAGGTGTTCATTTTGTGTGTGTGTGTGTGTGTGTGTGTTTTAATCTTCCACAGAGACAACCCTAGCCTAGGCATATTTTAAAGAAAATTTTGTTTTTTAATAGCTCTATGATTCTAGATTGTTAATTATCTTCTGCAAATTCTGGACATATTATTCTATTGTTCTCTGGCATTCATTGTTGCTTTTGGATCATTCATTATTTCTTTTTCCTGAATCTAAAAAAATATAAAGCTTTAAATTAACAAATACTCATTTTAATCTTCTTGTTTTTCAATTTCAGGTTTCTAGGCCTGTATTTCTATATATTCCGCTTTAGTTTTTGTTTTTTGTATTTTTGGTACCGGTGATCAACCTCAGGACCTTGTGTTTGTGAGGCAGGCCCTGGAACCACTGAGCTAAATCCCTGACCCTATTCTGCTTTAGTTTTAAAAATTTAATTGTATTGATATACTTTTGATATGCATAATGATCACATTTATTATAGGGAATTTGTACCTGTACATAACATATCTTTTT